AGGGAGGGGGGAGGTGGTCTAAAACTGCGCCAGTCATAACCCGCAGTGGGGGGCTTGGCAGATTTAGGGTAGGGTCGGCTTTTTTGCCGCATTCCATTTCGGGAACTGCAAAAAAAAGGTTGCATGTCCTTGAGGACATCCGTTAAAAGGATTGGAACGATACAGAGAAAGAAGATTAGCATGGTCTGACTTATAAAATATAAAATAAAAAATAAATAAATACATCGAGAAATGGTCTGAATTTGAAGAAAAAAAAAGAAAAAAGAAAAAAAAAAAGAGGAAAAGAAGGTTGCCAATTCTGAACGTCGGGCCCGGGTGGGACTCCCTACGTACGTGTCCCATGGTTCCAGTTTAAAGCTGATTTGCGGAGCGACGCCGGAGTCAGTAGCATGCATGCATGACGGTGACGTAGATGAGCACCCTAAGCCAAGAAATACGATGGAATCTCGAAACGAAAGTATCCCCAAAAATTTACAAGTCATCAAACCGGGAATCGCCATTGCAAATAAAAAATAAAATAAAATAAAAAAAAAGAAAAGGAAATCACCGAGCCTATGAGCATGTTAAGTTGGTATATGCGTATGTTCGTCGATTTTTTTTTTTTCCCACCAGTACTTTGCCCAGCTATTGATGCCGAGCCTAAACTTGCCCAGCGCGCCTCCCCTGCGCCGCGCCAAACAAAAAAAAAAACCGAAGCGGACCCGGGCCGGCGCTTGGCTCGCGGCGCCAGGCTCCAGCCATTTCCGTTCGGTACCCGAAACCCCCAAATGTGCTGCGCGTTAACATGCAAGACCCCGGGGCCAAGTCCCACTTGCAGCGTTGAGCTACCTCAACGCCTGAATCGGGACCGATTTGCGGAGACGTGCAGAAATGGTGTTGAGTTTCATGAACTGCATGTCTCCCCAAACACGACCAGATTCAGGCGTTGAGGAAAGCTTGGGCGCAGTCAACGTGACTTGCGCCCAAGCTGCTAGTGGGACCGGGGGCCCACTAGCAGTCAATTACCCGCAGTGGTTTTTTCATGTTTAAAATTTAAATGCGTTTCAGTCACGGGTTGCACTTGGCCAAATTTGCTCCAAAGGGAGGAAAATTGTGAATGTATCCAACCCAGCTGCAGGGTTAGGTGGGGATGTCTTGTATTTGAGGGATGGGGGAAGTGGTGGATTTAGGGTCTCCGTAGACACTCCTAAGGATTCCTGAATTCGTAAGGACGAGTCCTAAAAGAATTTTACATTGAAAAAATAATAATAAAAAAATTAGGATTTGCTGCCGAGTAGTTGCACTCAATCCAATAAAATATATATATTTTTCAGGAACGGTCCTAACGGGTCTCCGGCGGCCAGTTCTCCTATGTCTGCCCATTGCAGCCTGGTGTCCGTGGTACAGACAGCGGTGGGCCCTGGCCTGTTGAGGACGAGGAGGTGAGAAGCGCGCCGAGGACGACCTGCGCCAGCGGTTCAAATTTCGACCTTTGGGGCCCCTCCACTGCCCGCAGGTCGTCATTATGCCGTGCTGTGCGAGTGGTCGCCCTCCTCGGCGTTTCGCATCGAAGCCAACGGTTAGTCAGGGCACCCCCGCTCGCCCTCCATGGTCCACCCCGCCCGCCAACGACTACCGGTGGTGGCCGTTGCCTCCATCGGCCCACTGAAGGCCTCCGATGTCCGACTCCTGGCCCGACGGACGACTTCTGCACCACGGAGTCCGAGAAGACGGTGCCATGCGCGCGGCGCCACGACTCCGTCAGACGCGGCTTCCTAAAAATTTCAGTAGGTCGGGGGCAAGTAAAAAATTTAGGAAAATTTGCCTGGGGAATCCTAAATTCTTTAGGACGAGTCCTAACGCCGTTTTCACATTTTCGATCTCAAAATCGGATTTAGGAATAAATTTGCCTGGGGAATCCTAAATTCTTTAGGACGAGTCCTAAATCCGTTTTCACATTTTCGATCTTAAAATCGGATTTAGGAATGCGTGCAACCGCTATGCAATCCTAAAAACAGGCACTTTTAGGAGTGTCTAACGAGACCCTTATAACTGAAAACGTGAGTGCGCCGTAGTTACGCAAGATACCCAAAATACAGCCATAATGACCATACTTTGCATATTTGTTATAATAAGGTAGGCCATTCTCCTAGGGGTGCGCAAAAACCTTATCTGACGTGGATTAGGGCAAAACTGAAAAAACGGCAACTTGTCACGGCATTACGCAANTTTTTTGTGGAAACCACTGCACAGGAGCCCTGCAAGTGAGATCTGGGCACACTCTATAATTTTTGTTGCGCCGCCGGAGTGCCTGGAGGAGTGCCTGGACACCTCTGGACGTAATTCAGATCAGGTTCTTCCAGGCGTGGCTGTAACTGCAGTCAGAATCTGTCAGAGAAATCCAGGAAAGTCATATACTGGGCCTCGCTGCACTACTCTCGACATGCACAACAGACAAAAAGTCATGCGGGTGTATCTTTCCATACTCTAGCGGAGGATTCACTCTCTTTTTGCACATTTCGAGAGTTTGTTTTTTGAAAGAAGAGGGCTGTGAGCATCTCTTACTCTGTCTCTGAATGAGACCATTCATGATAAATGAATTGGGTTGGCAGAGCGGCATTTGCGCAATTGGGAAGATAGAGAGAAGGAGAAGAAGTCTCAAGAAGATTAAGGGCATCGCCACACCAATGTCGAAACATCACGAAATTCGACTTATGTCAGGAAATTCTCTACATTCCCTCTTTCGACAGAAAACCCCTCTTGGCCACACAGCATGCCGAAGTGAACAACTCCCAAGTCCTGTGCACAAAAGAGACAAACTGGGGTGAAGATAGGACAAGCGTTGGTGCGTTCTCTTTTTCGACATTCGGGCAAGAAGTGGAAACGAGCCCATCCGAAAACGAGCCCATCCGAAGACTGTTGAAAAAGTCCAAGTTGCAGGCCTGAAGTGGAAACGAGCCCTTCTCGACAGGAGGTGTCGAAAACCTTTCCCTGACAGCTCCTGAATGTTTTTTGCATCTCGGATTTTGACATGCCTGTCTCTTATACACATCTAGATGTGTATAAGAGACAGCACACACACACACACACACACACACACACACACACACACACACACAAAGAGACACATACATAATATATGTACATACACACAGTATATATTTATCTAAATGTTAGGCCTTGTAAGCCATGGTGGTACTTAGGTACTAGGCTTTTGCTTTCCTTGTCCTCTAGGGCAGGCAATCTGACACTGGATATCTGGGAACTGGATTTCATCTTGTTTTTTTTTTTTTTTTGATCAATTTTCATGCAAATATTGAAGTTGCAATAATGACACATGTCGCTTGCCGGAAACATTGCCCCCCGCACCCCCCTCCCACCCCCCGCACTGGCCGCGCCACAAAGCTCTTCTGACAACGTGCCCAAAACATAGACCCTTCTCCAACCAAACAATGAGAATCCTCTGGATCTAGTCTCTTGGCTGGATGCCAAGTGAAAAGCTGGAAAGGATTTGGGCTCAGCGAAGACGAAGTTCTTGTGGAGTGGAAAAAAAAAAAAAAAAAAAAAAGAAGAAAGACCAGAAAAATGTTTTGTGGATCATCACTGGAAGTGATCTGCATTCCATCTCATGATTGGCGCGGTGGGATGGTCGCGATTTGTGTGTGTGTGTGTGTTGTCGCCATCTTAGTTACAGAAAATGGGAAGAGAGGGGGGTGGTGGAGGAGGGGAGGGTAGGGAAAGAAGGGAGGGGAAGGGGAGGGGGGGAAGTGGGGAGGGGAGGGCAGGAAAGAGGACATCGCTAAAATTGTACTGAGTATCAGATTCTCCTTGGATTCTTTCACACACCCTTCTGGCCCAAACACTCCCCTCCCGCTCCCATAACCCCCTCCTCCTTTTCGCTCTTTCCCACCTCCTCCTCCTCCTCCTCCTCCTCCTCCTCCTCCTCTCTCTCTCTCTCTCTCTCTCTCTCTCACAGAGTCCCTATTTGTAGATTAAAAAATAGGGGTAAGGGCTCCTGGGTCACACCTAGCGTTTTTTTTTTCTTTTTTTAGAGCCACCTAGCGTTTGGAATAGGCAACTCAAAAAAAAAAAAAAAAGAATAGGCAACTCTTTTTTTTATATTGAGAAGAAGATAAACTTTAGCAGTTCTTGAAACAGGGCAAATAAAAAAAAAAGCAGCTGCTAAATTTTTATTTGCAGGTTTTTTTTCTAATTTGCCACCACTTACAGCCACAGTTTCAGAATCATTATATTGAAAACAACAGCCACAGGTTCAACCTCCCGCTAAACTTGCCCACATATTATATTAATGATTTTGAAACTCAAACGATGAGCAAATTTCCTTTTAAAGAAAATTCTTCTTATTATTATTATTATTTTAAAATAGGTGTCGCTTTCCGCGCTTTGTCTTTTCTTCCCTATTTCAAACAAAACAGGGAACTCAGGAGCAGTTTCCCCTAAAAAATAATACAGGGCCATTACAGGCTATACAGCTTTTCTCCCTGCAAGCAAGTGCTTTGACCTCTTCCTCCTCATCCCTTTTTTCCTCCTCTTCCTTCTTGGAGCATACTAGCAGTAGGGTCTTCACCCGAATAGAATGCCTTGTCATTATCCCTGTATCTAGACTGGACATTGGTCCAAATGCAGCTATATAAATGACCGGGCGTTCTATTTGGGTGACGCTGTTGGCACTTTCAAGCAAGAAACTAGCTACATTAAATTTTGCTATTTGCTATAAAAAAAAAAAGTTACGTTCTAAGTTGAAGGCCACAGGGTGTACACATTTTTACTACCTCTCCCCCAGCTAGCTTGCGACTTGTTTACGGGAGCCGCCGCGTTGTTTGGGGGTTCGCGTACCCGTACCGGACCGAAATGGCTGGCAGGGCCAGGCAGGAGCAGGCCTGTGTTGGTGCATCTTCCGTTCGAAATGGCTGGCAGGGCCACTGGCAGGCAGGAGAAGGCCTGTGTTGGTGCATCTTGGTTTTGCCGCGCAGGGAGAATTTAGGCTTGGCATCAATAGCTGGATGGGGTACTGGTGGGTTTAGGCTCGGCATTCATAGCTGGGTGGGGTACTGGTGGTTTAATGAACTTTAATCACAATATTTGGGATTACCAGCGGGTGCAGCTCCCCACCAATAGATGGATCAGGTGCAGCTCCCCACCAATAGATGGAGCAGCCAGGGACAGTTACTAGAGGTGTCTGCTTTTACCACCCCCTCTCAAAGAGGTCGCTGGTGGTAAAAATAAAAAATAAA